TGTCCTTAATATTCAGAAGACAAGTTAAATAAAGCATGTGTCCAAGATCTCACTGTTAGCCATCTATTCTAATAATACTACTGATAAGAAGTCTATATAGTGAAATTTCGTAAAAGATGTATATATGCTTAAAAAACTGATCAACTTTCAGTTGTAAGTGTTAGAATAAGGATAATTCACATCTTTACTCATAATGGTAGAAAACTAATTATAGAAAACTATTCATAAGGAAAATTATTTTTATAAGATTTAATAATAAAACTAGAAAATATAATTATTCATGTATTGAAAAAATTCCAATATAATAAATTAGTGAACCAAGTGAACATTTAAATTTTAATCAGTGATCTGTTCACTTAGTCAAAGTAGAGGAAAAACAATTCTGCTTTAATTGTCTTACGGTTTTCTAATGTCTCCACCGCTTTCCTTTTTTTAATTATAACAAGATACGTTATTGTTCATGTTCAATGATTTATTTATTTATCTATAACAGTTTTTTTGTAATAATACTAAAAGCATAACAGTAAAAATAGCTGAAAAGTTTGAAATATTTACAAACTGAAGTTTTACTTGGATATGGAATACTATGCTAGATTCGTGTCTGTTTAGAATTTCGCAGTCTATTGTATATCAATATAAATCCATACTCTGATATCATCTTAGTGAATAAGCTACTTGATGCAATATTCTAACCACGTTGAAATGCATTTAAACTTATTATCAATGAAGATTTCGTTTTCAAGATTTATATTCGGTTAGGTTATGCTTCACAAGATTGGTGGGGAAGTCTCTGTACTTCAAACTGACTGGTCTTACATGAATCTAGGCCGGCAAATATTCATAGAGAACTACAAGATTTAGTATATAAAGTTCTAATATTATTAACTGATTTGCACAGTTTTTAGATTATTGTTTAATATCAGTTATCACAGTTATGGCCCACTAAGTATAAATTAAATAGTACAGTTAGCTGTTGGTTCGTAGAAGTAAACACTAAGAGTCAATCAGTTAGGATTAGCAGTACAGTGTAAGTTCGATAAGTATTCGCTTCACTTGATATATATATATATATATATATATATATATATATGATGTAGTTCAATTTCATTTCTTCATTATTCAAATATGGTAGCGAGTGATTCAGATTCAATTATCTAGTCTTCATGAATAAAAATCAATATATTTTTTAATCTTGCGGTTAAACATATTTTCGTTATTAAAAGAAATCATATTTCCTTTATACGTCCTTCAAATGCTATCATTTAAGAAGTTTGTGAATGGGATATTTATAAATATATTTAAGATGATTACATAGGAAAACAGTTGAGTGAATTTTGATGAATGAACGCCCTCCAGGGTATGAATCAACACAAAAAATATGTGTTCGTTGACATATAGCACACACACAACTAGTTATCTTTTAGCTCGTACATTAATTTTTAAAGTTATCTAAACAGAAAAGAATGAAATCTAAAGAAACGTCTTTTTTCTTCCTGGAACTTTATTGTAGATGAATAGGATGTATTTTACACATGATCGGTCATTATTTACCATAAAATGTCATTCTATTTACCTAGATTACTCATAATGGATAGGCGTCGGTAATGCATAAAGTTATATATTACTGATCTTAACAACGGCAGAAAGTATAATACACCTGATTATGGTTTGGTTTCAGTCGTTCTTTGTTTCAGTCAATAAAACTGTTAATACTTGATAATTATGCTGATAGCATGTATCCATGCCAGATTACACATTATTTACCATTGTGTAATTGAACTTCCGTACAATCTTTAACAAGCAGTTTAGATTGAAAAATGGTGAGATAAAGCTGTAACCATTAGATTTTAATCAGAATGGGAGGTTCGTAGAGGTCACCAACTGGCTTCTTCTCTTCTGCACTAATTAGTCACTGGTTTTGAAAAGAAATCGTCGAATTTCGTAGTTTAGTGAAGTCAAGAAAGGAAGTTAGGTAACGCTGATAGGACCTGTTAACGATAACACAATATTATGACTTCACTTCTGTGATTGAAATTTCCAAGAGGAGTGTTTGACTTAGGTTAAGTTGCTAGCAGTTTTATGGCTGCTCAGTCATGAAACATTAAACATTCAGGAGAAACAGATGTATTATATTCCATGCTTTTCAGTTGTTTTCTAGGTGGTGATACTTCGTTTTGTAGTTGGTAAGTAAAGAATTACGTCCGTAGCAATATAGAATGGTTAAAGGTTTTTTTGGAAAGTTTTTATTATGCCCTCAAACGAAACCATCAATTCGTACAGTTTCTGCAACAAGATGGAATTTCAAATCTTACAGGAGGTGAAGAAAAGTTACCTGTACACATACTTTCCAGTTTTTCTTGCTCATTCAATCAATAAAATTTTTTCCACTTGTATGCATAGTTCAAAATACAATGAATCTGTCCTTTAATAATTAAATTGAATGAAGAATAAACTGATTATTTGTTTAATCAATACCTTACCTTCAAGCATTATGAAGATAAATTCAATCAGCCATAGATACAGAGAAAATTCTTTAACATGAATAAATAATAACAATCATTGTATTTGTAAAACGATGATACTTATGCATTTTCCTTAGGCTTGTTAAACTAATTCACCGTCATTTTCTTCTCTGGTTTCTATCGCTGTTTTTACTGTTTATCCGTTGTTATTTACTTGTGTGCAATCAACCATCAACTGTTAGTATACGATGGTATTATATGTGAATTTTTGCATGCCTATAATACACATAACAGAATTAATAATGTCAAGAATCATACATTAACTTTAATGTTGAAGAAAGCTTCCTACCTGGCAAAATGCTTGGTAAAATAGGCTGAATGAATTGTGATAAGCTTAAAACGCACTTTAAATAAAACCGAAAGCCTAACAGGAGGAAAATCGTGTTTCTGAAATTTTAATTAAATTATTTTGATGAAGTTGGATATTTTGACAAATTCCATGTTGAATTAATCCAACAGGTTCTTAGTAAAATATTACATACTACACAGATTGTGATTTGGAATAATAGCGAGCTATTGTGTGTATTGATTTACCTAGTGATTGAAGAAAAGTTTGAAAACTTTTGACTTTTGGATAATTCTAGTTATTTCCTATTAGTTTCCATATTTTAGTAAATTAGTTCTAACAAATCTATTTATTTATTTACATTAAACATGAATTACAGTTATCGTCGAAAAAGTAATTTCGAGAATCTGTGCTCGGTAAAATTCATTATTGTTAAAAGTATGATCTAAGAAACATTAAACAGCACCATTTCATAGTTGTTTGTAGCGTTTATACTCTCAATATTAGCGACAAATAATTAGTTAAAAACTCCTTTTTTCCTAGATGTACACATATTCATATGCAATTTAGATTTTTAAACTAGCAGGCAACCTAACATGATTATATTCGATCGCTTGATATCTAGGCTACCAAATGAATTGTTAAGTTATGCAAAATTAGATTATTAATAACTGAAAAAACGGTTCAACCCACTCAATAATAAGATTTACGGTTTAAAGGAGAAGTGCATTTATGTTTCGACAGCCAGAGTAACAACAATGTATGTTGTTTTATATCGTAAACATACGCGTCAACATAAATTATGAATAGGCATCAATAAGAAAAATTGAATTTAATGATTTCATATAAATCGAGCGTTAACTAGGAGGTTAGTATTATTCATCAAAATATAATTATTTTATTGATAAAAAACATAAATGTTTAATTTAGATATTCTTATAAATATTGCAAATTATTCATAGTAATTTTTTTTAATAAATAATTGGCAGAAGGAATGATCATTTCAACAAGAGCTAGATTTTGAAGTGATAAAGAGAGTTTACTCTATTGTTCATAATTCACTATTCTCATATTAAACAGCCAATTATTAAAAAATGTTGTTCACTTCAAACACTGTTTTACATTGGATGCAAAGTCAAAGGTAATTGAAGGGTATTAGTTTAATAATCCTCAACATTTTAACTCGAAACAAATCACGAAAATGAAACTGTGTGCAATTAGCTATGTGGATACATAATAATTATTCGGATAAACATAAATACGCCGACAACAAAGCAAAGTTTTATAACTTTTAAGAACACTTTCTTTTGGGAATGTTCCCTTCGTTCCAATACACAAACTGCGTCATCAGAAATAGTTCATAATTGGTGAAATGAGTAAATCTAGGATTTCAACTTATACCGTAATGAAAATATTGATTAGTAAACCTCCAGATGACACAGTTAATACGAGCATAAAATATAAACTCTATTCTCGCTACTCAGAAGCAAATGTTACTCACAAACCGTTAGAATTCTAAATTTAAGTGAACATGAATTAAAATGTGCTAGAAAAATGAACGATTGGAACTCAATCATTCAAAGTTTTCTAGTGTTTCACTTAACAATAATTATAGCTAAGTTATAACCTAGTTAGTATGAAAGCTAAGTTAAAAGCTAAGTTAACACAAATATGAACTCCATTCTACATCTAGTATTGATAAATAGGTCAGATTCGAAGCAAGATAATAAGATTAACATACGAGTAAAATCCATCTTTATTTCTGAGTGTGTCAGGTGACGATTTTGAAAATAAAAAGTTATTACGTCGTTTTTCAAATGGATATGAACATTAGTGTCTATGTTTCAGGTACAAAGGAAAAGATGTTATATTTGTCACATTACGAATTATATTCACGACTGAACCAAAATTATAAAAACAACATTATATAAGGACTTTCTAATTAAATAGTGTAATTCGTTTAACATTATTGCACAAATTGATTCGCTGGCAAACTCCGCTAGAGTTGATCATTACTGAATAGAAAACAGTAATATTAGACTTCACTAAGCATAAAAATTGTACAGTGAATAATTTTGAAACATTTGTCAAATTTAATTTATACAACTTCAGTTTCCTAAAGTTTCTCGTTTAGTCCTTTAAAAAGCAATGCAATATTTTAAACTTATGGATATAATTTAATATCTTTTCAGTTATCTTGCTGGACACCGACGTTACAGATTGGAGTAACTGGACAAGAAATACCGGGAAATATGAAGGAGTAAGTTAGAATTGCCATTAAACGCATTAAATATATATATATAGCATATCTTCAAATTTATTTCCGTACTGTAATAAATTGTTCCTACGAAAAAACTACTAATCGTTAGAATAGATTATGACGCAGTTTTATTATTGCTTAAGACGATGGGTGTATTACAAGATTTTGCTTATTTCCAGGAGAACGTCCATCTACTCTTATTGTTTGATACCTTATGATGATGACAAAATATTCGTTACGATATCAAATTGATTAGTCGTAAGTTAAGCAAGGTAGTATGGAGTGAATAGTTTGATCCCCAAAATATAACAGATTTATATCATTAATTTATTATGACAGATATTCTACAAATGTTAAAAATGAAAATATTATCGGAAATATGTAAAACCAACAGATGGGAATATTAAAATAAACGGAACCTATGCATATCACTATCTTTACTCCCGTATTATCAAACAGGTTGTTATTTTTACAAACACAAATGAGCTTATTTTAATAGCCAGAGTGGTGAGCTCCAGGAGTAAAACTGAATTGTCACAAACAGTGTTAGTTATTTACAAAACATAAATCAAAATAGCAATCCTGGAAGCCTGTGTAGATGTATGGATTGAATTAATTTTTTCAAAGATATACCAGTCAAAATCCTATTTTCATCATTAAGACATCAAATACTTTTCGCTGCATCGCTAAAGTCATTCGAACAAAAACTATAGGCTTAAGTCTTATGGTCAGGTCTTCGATATTAAAATATATCAAGCTTTCAGAATGTGATATTTAATTAGTATCTAGTTTCCAAGTTGTCATGAATATTCTGATCGATGAAAACCAGTCTTGTTAGGGGGAATTAACTGTCATGAAAGCTAACTTTAAAGCTTGCTGTCTAATAGATGTAAAAATATTTTAAGCCAAAAGACATGTAAGAGAATGTCGTCCCTCAAATGTTATGACTAAAACTCAAAAAAAAAAACATTTGATCACCAAACATGTTATTTCCATAATTAATTGTGTAATCAAACTTTCAGAGAGAAATAACAAAGGTAATTATAGGTTTGTAGTGAAATTTTCTAATTCATAAAAAAATATAAATTAATTACACTGAACAATTGTTTTTCTTGAATTTCTATTCAATGATAATTAAAATTCCGTCTTTTCATAGTGAGCTTATAGTTTAAAGAACTCATGTAACTCATTGTTAGAAGTCTAAATTTACAAAAAAAACATAAACTAATTGTTTCTTTTCTATATTGTTAAAAAAAGAAAACAATTTCCATTGTTAGGTGTTTTCCTTGAGGCGCTTACGAATTAACTTTTTTTGTTATTTCGTCAAAAAACAGTCTGAACAAAACACAACTGTTAAGCTTACAATAAGTTATAATGACTTTCCATTATATTTGTATGAATTAGTTATTAGTAATTAACTGGAAACCAAATTAATTAAATTAATTTAGTGAGTTATTGTTCCCGGTAACCATTGAAGTGCTACTGTGTTTTGCGGAATTGTCAACTTTACTTTTGTCATGAAAACTTAAGAAAAACATTAAAACACTGTAAGTGTTTGGTCAATTTTCAACCTTCACATATGTGAATATTTTGATCGGACATGAAAAACGTGTTAAATGTTGAATCTAAGCAGTCGTATCAAATATGGGAAAGTCCTCTTTACACTCAGAAAAGAGACATCAGGGTGACTTGATTGTGTCATCAAGAATTTGAACGAACCAGTCAAACGTTATTATTTCTTGCACAAATTTAGCTAACAGTTGTAAAGCTAGAGTTAAATTTTTAAAATATATATTTTAGGGTTTTATGTGAAAGAGAAAATTGACAGTTAACCAGACGACAACCTATTTACAGCGATCAGTTATATAACTGGACAGTGGAGTCATAAATAAAATTCATCCTGTTGAACCAGATCTGTTTTGTTATTAAGTATATATATATATATATATATATATATATATATATATATATATATATATATAGTGTGTGGGCTATATATTATATAAGTTCTATAAAGAGATAGAATGATAAGTGTAATCGCTTTAATCTTACAGTGTCTTTGGTGCAAGCATATTTTTTCCTTTTTAATCGACTTTAACAGTAATGCAAAATTATATTAAAATTATCTGAATTTTTGGGCCTGGCTTATGTTAATTTGTCTTAGATATTTTGCTACTTTCAGGTTTGTGTTCTTAAATGAAATTTATGGACAATATTACTCAGTGAAATAAAAAGGCTGAAAGCTCAAGAATACAGAATCTAAATACTGTCCATTTTTCATCTCTATCTGTCCTGCAGTTGTTCATGTCACATAATCAGGTCTACCATTACAGTACTGTTATTGTTCATGTTGAATATAAATATGAATAGTGAAACAGTGTAATGGAATAAGTAAATGTATACTGTAAAATATACCACTCCTTTTAAGGTACTGAATGTCTTCATTCTCTGAATAGATAGAATTTTAACACTTATTTTCCCTTACTTCAATGTATTTCTCTGTTTCTTTTTCAGTGGCGTCAACAAACACATCCAATTTTACAAAGAAAAATTTATGGTGTTTGCCAGATAGCTCAAGAATACAATGATAATTGGCTGTACAGTCCACCAGTTTATGTCAATGAAGCAAAAAGTATTACTATCGAAATCACGTTTACCATAAGAGAATGCAGTGAGCATCCAAACTCAGAAGTGTTACAGCACTGTCAAGAGGTATTGGAACTTCTTTTAAAGCAAGTTGATGTAACAACATCAGATGAAAAGAATCTCAACCAAACGTAAGTCATTAGTAAAACTACTTTTTGTAGTTAACTTTTTTTAGTGAAATTTGCTTTACGAGATCTTAATTTATAAGTAATTAGTAAAACGTTGAACAAGATGAAGATATATGTAAATATGAGATACGATAACTATCTGCCGCATAAAAGTTTATTGCACAAATGAAAATGACCAAATAATATTCACTTCCTAGGTAGTTATGTAACTCCCTTTGAATATTGGAAAAAATAGATGAGAGGTCTCAAAATTTAGAGTTTTTATTCTTATCCATGAGCGTTGATGTAATGGAAAGTAATAAGATTATAACCCGTTTGAACTGGACCGTATTAAAATCACCTACTAAGTTAAATAATGTTAAACAGTTTGTCGTATCTTCCCAAAAAATCATCTTAACAGTCGCGCTAAAAGGTATTTGCAATGTGAAAATTTTTGGCTAGAATAATATTGTTTTTGAAACGCTCTGAATTAAAAAATTAGGAGGCAACAATAAGCTTAGTACTAAGTTCAAGAGTACACAATGAAAATGGAATTCATTCAAAAAGTGAGATTCGACTGAGCCTTGTCAATATTCAAAATGGTGATGAAATAGGATAGACTCCAATCAATTTATTTGAAAACAGGACATAGTGTTGATAAGCATTATTATCCTATATTACAACATAAATTCATATCTATGAACAGGTATACTTTTTTAAAACTAGTAGTAATAATACTTCGCATACAGTTTCATAATCGGCTATAACCAAAACCAAATAATACTGGAGTCAGTGTTTACATATGTCAGGCTGTACATATATAGAGAGGAGTAATCGAGCATCGCAATCAAAAATGATTGAATAAGCTAAATCGGGTCAAAGACCAATTAGGGCTTCATGAAAAAATAGTAAAGGGTAACTTTTCAAGCTTATAGATGCCTTACCTACTAGAAGACTTATAATATACACTAAAACAATCTGTTCTGACCTTGAATTTACCCTGAGAACCGTTAATTAACTTTAATACTCAAAGAGTTGAGGAAACTTATTGTTTTGATATTATAAAATCTCGTTCTCTTCTTGATTTTCAGTAATTTTTTCTATTTATCTGGTCTTTATGAGGTTTTAAATATACATATGTGTGATCAGGTTCTTGGAAATTAACGTCACAACTACTTCTTAGACTTATGATCAACTTCGTCCTGTTAACCATATTACTGAAATTTATAAAAGGGATCAGTTTTTACACAAACTAAGTAAAACATCGTTTGACATAAATTTAAAGTCAAGAAAATTTGGAAATCAAGCGTTAGTTACATGAGTCTTATTAACATTAGAGTTATTTAAGACAGACTAAATCTCTAGAAATTTCTAGAAGAAATCATAACAAGGAAAATTAAGTTGGATGATTTTGTTGGATAAATTATATTGATTATTCGTTGAATAACATGTATCTTTTCCTTCATTTTTACTAATTTTTCAACTTTTTAGATGTTTTTACTGATTTCAGTAAATTTATCTCGAACGAAATTAAATTATCTTATATTAACCATTCCTCCTTAATAAGTCATTTTTTAGTCTTTAATAAATCGCTAAACAATTAACTAATTTTAATATTTTTACCCAACCTATCAATACATTAAGCACTTCTCATTAATATTCATAGAAAGCTTTATTAAAAGCTGGTAGGAATTTGAAATCCCACATAGCAATGAAACATTTATATGATCTAAATAAAATGCCACTTATATAGTGGGTAACAATTTAATGATGAACTTTTTCCTAACTTGAGTTTCTCAGCGGTTTTATTCACTTAGTTTAGTTTGGGTAAAGTGATATATTGTCAAAGGCTAATCAATAAATATTGTATTTTATTTTGTATTCAACTTTTGAATTCTTACCTTTAGGCAAAATTCATTCATCAAACTGGCTACATTATCGACAACATCACAAAAATCCAAGCATGATTCATCAACAGAAGGATTTCTTATTGGTTGGAATGTTTCTAATCAAAACAAGAATAATTTACCTGATTCATCTTCCGAACAAGTTACTGCACATATCAGTAGATTCAATGTACAAAATGAAAACATTCAAATAGCTATCAGAGATCGTGGATCGTGCTCAACAATACGACGAGTACGGTTAGGTTATACGGTTTGCCCATTTCTAAGAAATAATTTTATTGAATATCCTCGAACAATCACGGGGAAAATAATGGAAGGTTTAACTGTAGACGGACGATGTATCAGTGGTGCAGCATTAATTAATCATAAAGAAATACCTAAGTTAATATGTCAAAACGATGGAGTGTGGTATTATGAAGCAATAAAATCTTATCGTTCCGGTGAAGATAAACATTTTAATATTTTCTCTAAAAACAACCCTTTAAATCATTTAAACAAACCTTGTGAATGCATGCCTGGTTTCGGTGTCCTGAATGAAGATAATATAATGGATCAATTATGTGAGCGTAAGTCTGTTCATTGTTTCAGCAGTGTAGTTTAAATTAGGGGGAAAAATATTACGAAATTATAAATTATAGTTTTAAATAGATGTAGATGTCAATATAGAATTGTTATTTCTTATAAACTTTTTATCAAGATAAACTTTATATGATCTTTATTAGAAAGCTATTTCTCAACAATTATTTGGATTGCATTTAATAAGAAAGAATAGAAACACGTTAGTAACATTTGTTTTATTCAATATCATTTTCTTCACTATTAATTTTTAGCGTGTGGATTACACTATTTCAAACCAACATTTGGACCATTTACATGTCAACGTTGTCCATTAAATTCTCATAATCCTTTTCATGCATTAACAAGTCGTAGTGTACAGCGTTTTAATTTATTGAACTATCGGCCTAAAACTTCAAATTATAATGAGTCGAACCTCAATGAAATAGACAGTTGTGTATGCGATGCTGGTTACTACCGTCATCCAATATTAGACAAATCAGACTCATCCTGCACAAGTAAGCTTCTGTTCTTGACTATTCTATGCGTTCATTGATACAGTTTTTTAAGTTATATTTGGCTTAAAAGTATTGAGCATACCTTTTGATTAAAAGAATATTTTTGGGCATTCTCTTTTGTTCTTCTTCAGTTTATTATACCTTTTTGCCAATTATTGACATGCGTACAGCAATCTAGAAAGTGAATAGGTCTCTTAACTCATCAGGATGTGTTAACGTCTCTATGATAAAATCTTATAAAACACACTTTCTCTGTTGTCCAGTGCTGGTATTCGCCGCGGTTTTAGATGTTGATGCTAATATCAACATTTGTGACTCCTATAAGTAAAGTTACATACTCAAAAAGCGTAAACTTTAAAATGTTTGTTGAAATTTAATAAAAAAATTGAAGTAACAAGGTTATTCTGTTTTGTGTATACTTTGGTTGTTATTTTCATAATGTAGGTTTGACTGTAGTGTAGTGTGTGTAGTGTATACATAAACAAATAATAATATTTCGAGGATTTTAAATGTTTACCGCCTTCATTGATGATTAAATATTTTAGATAACTCATCACTCAACCAAATAAAACATGAAGTTTCAATAGATTGTAACGTATTAAACAGTTCAGAGTTTGTTCACAAGATAAATCACACCAAGCAGATAACGAATTATATAAGCTGTCCTATTATGAGTTAGAATTATGATACTGAATTATTTTCCCTTTTATTATCTCATTCCGGGAAGATATATTTCAGGGAAGTATTTTTTTAACAATGTATTCAGAGAAAAAAATACTCAAGGTAATTAATTAAATTGATGTGTCTTGCTGATTGAGAAAAAAATCTCTGTAATTCGTAATGTAGTTTGCAAGAAAAGAGGAAAACTTGTACATGCGGCTAATGTTATTATGCCTTACTTATTAAAATAATTTGACTGAATCATATCAAATATCTTGGATAGAAAAAAACTCTTGACATAAGATTGTACCATGTTTTTTAGAACAGGGTAAACACGATACTTCACTTTTTGAGGTCTTGATACAATGTGTTTCTTTACAATAATTGACGTGTTCTCTTTATTTCACGAAATTCTCATATCAAGCGTAGGAAACATAATCAAAATATCATTCATACACATAAACTCATCAGACTGTCTGTCAAAATCGAGTCAATTACATTGAATAGAAAACTGTAAAACTATATCATCAACATTTTCGAGGTTATAGTGTAGCAAGAATAATTACCATATGAGAATAATCCAAGCTTATTAATTTCCTGGATTTGCTTCTTTAACAACAATAATTTTATCAATTAAAACAAAATGAGTCTTTGTACTTTTTGAAATAGTTTTAGTGAAAAATGGTGTTGATTTAGACGTGGATTAATATAAAGACCACAACTGTGCAAGAATCATTGAGTTATTCGATAAGTCATTTAATTATGAATAGTTTGTATAAATATTCTTGGTGAAACTGTAAAGATCAAGATAAGATGATCCTTGAAAGGATTGATAAACATTTTAGTTTAGGTGTCTATAAAAAGCTTAATTAAGTGATTAAATTAAGGATAAGGTGCAAGGAAGAAGAAATTAACGTAAAAAGTACTCGAACAATGGATTCATCAAGGTAAAGTAATATTGATTACAACATCTTTTCCCACACTTGAAATGTGGACACAGTCCACTACGCCGTAGGCCCGTCCGTGATTATTGCTGACCCTAAGCCTGGGTAAAGGTGGAGAATTGGAAACGACGTCAACTAGCTTGTTAAAGTACCATAACCACAATGTCCACTTTACAGTTTCGAATTTCATAGGGAGCGGTCAGAGAGAAAAACAGTGACCCTCCTGTTTCTCTTTACTAACCTACTATATGGTATGAGAATAAACTAGCAGACACAGTTCGAGACGTGTTTATTGTGACTAAATACAAGAAGATATGAACTCCACATTTGCACTTTAGACTATCAAACCCCATCACAACAATGTCTTCAATGCTGCAAACCTATCATCAGCAGTGATATCAAGATACCTAATACCTACTTTATCACATGAACTGACTATCCATCTGATGTTTTACAAAGTTATTTATGTTTGATTCTTCTTATTATTTCTACTTAATCATCCTTTTTCGTTTGTTCCAACATTGTACTTGTGACCTGCTTATTTAACAGAAGTGCATATTTCTGTTATTTACTGTGTAGTAAGTTAGCTTTATGATAACCCTTTTAAAACCCATTATCGAAATCCATAATCGAAGTTTAGAAGAGTTATTTGTATTCAAATGTAGACTGTTTCTGAAATTATCACTAACAAAAATATATGAATATTGGGACAACTATTCAATACTTATTTGTTTTCATAGTTTATCTATTTAGAACCAATCTTTAAGATCAGAGTGAATAATCTGTCATTCTAATAATTATTTTAAATTAATTGCTATGTAGCTTTTAAATAAGTTTTCTAAAAGACATTTATTACAAATGTCTAAAACTCACAAGTTAGAATGCTGAAAATTAGTGAAATCAAAATTTTATCTGTCTCATATAATTTTTTATGTCAATAATTTTAATAAAAACCTTAGGTAAGTAAAAAACCTACCTGAGTATTTTATGAACAGGAACAAATATAAACAGAATTCAAGGATATTTTTACAACTAGTGAAAATAAGACACTTATTTTCTCTGTTTTGTTTAGTTGATTAGCCGCCAATTGGTTAAGATCAACACATTTTCATGTCTTTGTTTAGACTGTATTAAATTTCATTCAGATATTTTCTTTTCTATTTGTCATTCATTTTTGTGTTTGTTTTTTCCTCTTCCACTGTGTCTCATATTACCATCGCTGAAATATTTCAGAAAACCTTGAGGAAACAAGAATTAAATTGTCTCGTTCCATGCATCGATATCGTTAGATCACTCCTGACTTCATTATCCTGAGTATATGAAATCTTCCTTTCAAAGTTTCAATTTATATGTTCCTTCATTTACGAATAAATGCTTCATTAACAGTATAACGGAAATTTAGAAGCTCATAGAAACAATAAGCACTTCACAGTCAAAAGCATTTTTCGATAAACAGTCTTCTCATAAAGTTAATTTATCTGGTTTTATTTTTGCATAACACACTATGCTCATATACTATAGTGTAAATAATTCACTAATCTACTTTGATGAGTACAGTGTGACTCGTCATTCTGCTACGAGCCATTTCTTAAATTTCAGCTGCATTGTAATTTTTACTGTCTATTAGGACTTTATAATGTGAATGAATATTCAATAATCATTGGAATTATTAACCGAATAAATTTTATGCTATGCGCAGGGAAAGTACTTATAATTTCTGAATGTTGATCAATAATTTATCACGCAATAGTATTAATAATATCATGCCTTTTTAGTTCGAGAAATCTTTTCTTTCATTTTCTGTAACAATGATGCATAAATATCTATAACAGCTTTTACATTTCCTTGTTTGGAAGAAAACCATAACCCCATTTGCAATTTTAATTACAAGATTGCGTGAAAATTAGTGATGATATCTTTTAGTTCACCGTATTTCCGTCTCTGTTCAATTATGATAAACACAATTGTTAATCATTATTTAAGTTCCAAACATTCTAACTGAGCATAGGGAATAAACAAAAAGAACAATGTGCACTTCCGATTAAAAGATATTACTCTTGTTTTACAAACAACTTAAAAGTAGTTTTTTTTAGTTTTAAACTAAAATTCACTATTTCATTATTTTGTAGCTCATCATCATAAGACATGAAAATGTAATTTAAATTCAATTTAACTGATAATCTTTGTATGGACATTGTTTGTTAGGTATAATAAAATATTATTCATCTAATGGTTCCAAATTACTGACCAGCACACTCTTCAGTAACTCGAGTTAAGTTTAATTTCAAGTGCACTCTCAACATCGTTTGCTTTATAGTTTGTACAGTGATAATGGATATTCTTCTCCTATAAGAATTTGATTTAGCATAAGTAATGAAATCCGTTTGCTTAGTTTGGTTATGTTTTATTATTTAACATGATCTAACTTTTTCATTTATACATTGCAGAAGTTCCATCAGCACCAAGAAACGTCACTGTCAACCTAAGTGATCCAGCAAGAGTACAGCTTTCCTGGAATGAACCATTAGATACAGGAGGTCGATCTCATATCTGGTATATCATAAACTGTTTAGAGATACCGAATCAGTCATGTTCACCTCATCTTACAATTATACCAACGGTCCCAACACTGATGACAAGGTAAATCAAAATACATTTTCTAACATCCATTTCTAAAGCTACCAAAAACATAATTACAAATATATTAAAAAATTTATTAGTACTAGTTCCCGTATTGTCAGAACAATGAGAGCAGTGAATATAGTATTTTCATCAGAATTTGATTATTTAGATATTCTATCAATACAGATCTGAATCTTCACGAAATATGTGAACAGATGATCATCAGTAAATACTTATTGAAATGAATATTACTTTCTATGAGAATAATGAGTACGAACTGTCGATATATGTAAAGAGGTAGTATAATAGATAAGCTCAAATTTGAATCTGACGAGGACATTGTGAAATGACATTGTACAGCTAAATCAAATGATTTTATCGAAAAGAAAATTTTCTTCTCCGGACTCTATTTATTTTTGTCTAACTTATTTATCTATTTTATTCAATAACACGAATTTTCCCACCCTAAATATGTTTTGTACCAAATTCAGAATGAGGTTATATAATGTTGCCCTACATATATATATATATATATATATATATATATATATATATATATATATAAAGCATAGTTTGAGCTCACCAAAGTTTATCTGAGATTAGGCAGCCACGTGAACATAAAATAATAATATTTGTACACACATTCATTGAAACGATCCGGAGTTAGGTCATGATCAGTATCTTATTATTGCATAGAATCATTCTATCTTGGTGTTTATTATAGTAAATTCATTTTGAATTTCGAATACTTCTAACTGATTTGTATTAAATAATATGACATTTAGAATAACTAAAAGCTCACTAGATTTTTGAACGTTCCATGTGTTTTAGTTAGAGTGGTATATTAAAATAAACTTTCTTTCAATGAAATGCCATTCATTAGATGACTCTTGTCATTTGAAAACCCCTATCTTGATAGGGTATTGAATAAACATAACCCATCAAATCTTTTTTCATGAAATCAGGGATTTGGTGTGTCTATATACTTTATTACTACATATATATATATACATATATATATATATTGATTTAACTGAATATAACTGACTAAGTTCTGGCTTACTACGAATTAATAAAATATATATTTTAATTTCATTTTATTATAATATAACCTTAAATAAAATCATATTATTCTATGACCATTGTTTGCCTTCGAGATTTATAAAACAGCTCACCGAATAATTATTTATGTTTTAAAAGATCAAAGAACTAATATAAAAAAAAATCTCCGTACTCACATTAACATATAATATCTTTTGAAGTTCTGTAAAAGGTGGTGGCTCATGAATATCAAATGGACCGTAGGAGAAGTTTCATTAATGATATAATTTAGTTCAAAGGGCTTTAAACTAGACCATGCTTTCTTCGACCATCTGTTGACAAAATGGTAGATTACAAGTATACCACTCAGCTGTTTATTGATCTATTTTCTTAGGTTTTTAGTTGATATTGGCTAACGCGGTGTTATACGTAGTTTTATAATTTCATAAAATTAGGATTTTACAAGGTATTGAGTGGAAAATTTAATCACGAATATACTACAACAACATTATCAAGTAAACTGGGGGCTTAGGATCTATCAAGAAGGCTTCAAAAGAAGTGAACCGGGCACTAAGTTAAAATTAAAACAGTTTAAGAGAACGAATTTATGATATGATTCTGAAACAACTAGTCCGATGGTGAGTATGTTGACTGTATTGTAAATCTGGACAACTAGAGGGTTTATCAAAAGTATAAAAGACACATAAATTCAATCTAATAGGTCTTAAATCATAATAAAGTACATCAGTGCCTCACTGTATGCCTAATTTCAAACCGTATCAAATAAAAACACATTACTTCACAAAATCAGCATTCAAAGTTTCGTACATTTCTGTCAGTAATGATTCTCAATTAGCTAGCCACCAAACTAAACAGTTTGCTGCAAATAAATTGTAAGGCTGTGATGACCTTATTCGATAATCTTTTAGTCCTTAAAACAATTTTTACAGGACTCGGACAGTGGTAGAGATATTATTGATGTTTAGGTGTATCAAACTCATAATGCAGACCTGAAAGTATGTCTGTTCTCTATTTCATTATTATCCACAATATAGGTTATATATATATATATATATATTTGAGCTTGTTTGCATCTCTGCAAGTACTAAACAGTTATTCTGAGTAAAATTAACCAAGCAGATGTATAGCAAGCTTTCGTATGTAGTTTTCTCTCAAAGATTGATTGTTGTTTAATTTGACATAATTTGAGGACACAATCGTTTCTTAGTTCTTCTGGTTCTACTTCATCTTTTTTTTCTTTTTGATTTATTATAAATCTGTTTGTTCTAATAATAATAATAATAATAAAATATCCTGACAGGAAAAGAAAACAACTGTAAGTTTCCAAAAAAACGAAAAAGAATAACATAACACACAAGAAAATGAAAGTAGATTTCTAGGTGTTTACTAGTTTGTTTATTTTTGACAATGAAATGATTATAATAAACGAGTATTTAAATTAAAGAAAGAGATTTATTCAAATGCAATACTGTATCGAGTTTATGATCATAACTCATAGGAAACATAATTCAGTGACATTTGCAATTAAAAAGGTTACATTATAAAATATTTCAAAAAACAGCTATTAAAGATGTTTAGCAATGGAATATTTTTATGTACTGTGTCAGTGAATATATTTATGTTTTTCGACTTGAAGTATTGATTTATCCAAGTATAGCGGAAAAACTTTCAATCAGATGTTTCTTTTCTTTTTTCATAATGATCAATCATTTTAGTGGTTTTTCATAACAAGTCAGTTTAGGATGAAAATTCTTTGCAAATTAAATCAAACTTCAAAAATTATGTTGTTAAATCCAGTGATTTCGTATAACAATATATAGAGTAAGACATTATTTTTACAAAGCGTATTAAGTTGATTTATTTTATTTAAAACCGACACTGGATTAAGTAAGATTGAGCCGACTACCCTTAAATGTGTGGTGGCTGTTCTTCAATCCGAATGGCTGATGCTTCATTCTCAAGAATCAATTGAAAATTAACTACAAATGACATGAAGACAAATTAATATAACTTAGGAGACAGCGAGAATCAAAAAGCACTTTACATCGTAGCATACGTATAAACATCAGTTCTTACTGATACGATTATATACTGAAGTGATATATTTGCACGATTCTAACTTATTCTCATTAATTTTTTCTGAATACAACAGTAGTATTTGATATTTAATCGCATTTTAGAACGTAAGAAAATATACTCAATCAAACAGATGTTATTTTGATCTTATTTTAGCATTGTTCTCATTGGATTGAATTTGGGTAAATCCATTATATTGAGCGTAATAGCTACAAATGAATTGAGTGAACATCTACCGCAATTAGAGCTCATTCAATCAACTGCCAGTATAACAATTCAACTACCGAACCCAAGTAAGCCATTTCAATAAATATTTACATGATGATTAAAGGCTTACTTGGTTGAGGCTCAAGTGTTGCACAGAATTAACTTCTTGTGATCGTTTGCGACTCGTAATATAAGATTTTAAGAAACAGTTATTATATAAATTAATAAATAAGTTATATGATAAACTTGAAAAATACAATCGAACTACCCTGGGATGTTAATCATTTTAACTTAAGATAATTGAGTCACTTGTTATGTTAGGAAATGGTATTAAGATGGGATTCCAGAATTTATTATATCCGACACCGATTAATGATAAAACAACAACAACTTATCACTAACTCTTAACAATAACCCCAATGATAGTTCACTGCCTTCACCATGAAATTTTCTCTCCCCTTCATACTAACCTGTTGGTTATAGCTATTTGATTTTGCGTTATTGTAAGTACACATTTATACAACAAATAATTGATAAGTTGTTGTCAAGTACCACCCAGTGTCATGTAGTCATATCAGACTTTTAATCAGCTTTAGTATTTCACAACCTGATGAAAATGAATAATCACTATATAGATATGAGGACTACTGTTTTTCATCTGAATTTAGGTAACGATCATTGTTAGACCACCATTAGAAAAACCTGGAACACCGGAAGGCTGTTCAGTCCTTGGATAGGACTCATCAGAAGTTTGCAGCTACGGCCCTCGCTTACGGGAATCAAACCCTCTACCTTTGGTTTCGTGTGTAAAACCTTAACCTCTAGACAAGTGAGCCGGCATCTAACGGTGTTAATGTCTACTTTTGGTCATTCTAAGTTGTTTCTTAACTTCATCCATTGTCTTCGCTAGTTACTGCCTACACCTAACGTGGTTGAACGCCACTGGTCATGGCTTCTCACAAGAATTCCTTCACTAAGATAATCACCAGTGATAATTAGACGTTTGCACCGTTGAATGCCGGCTTAATGGTCTAAAGGTTAAGTGTTGGCTCACGAGACCGAAGACCTGGGTCCGAGTCCCGGAACGTTTCCGTCAAGTTCTTCTGAATAATCTTTATCTTAAATTCAACACTTACACTGTGTATACTTTATGATAAAATATTTTATTACGCATCTTCCGTTTGATACTCAAATTCATTTGACTGAAAGTTGTTTTGAAAATGGAACTATTTACCAGAATGTTTAATAAGAAAGTTAAAGAAAACCGCTACCAAAAAAGAACAATCACAACTTAAAGTTATACCTAAGGACGTTTATTTGAATAACTGAATAATAAATTGTGAGTTTTTACTAGCAGTTATCTTCCCCTAAGTAAAATTTCAAACTAGCCAAATAAATGTGAATTGAAATAAGCAATCAAGTAAAAATGATGAGCTTAAGCCACATGGGTCAGTAGATTAATTTAGATAAGTATACTTTTCAACTACTTGAACTCAATAAACATATAATGTTAGGTGATGAATGACACTCAACCTCAAAGTTACAGTGAACAGTTAACTAAATTAAATTAACCGGTTTATGTTATTTAAAACCAAATGAAAATTGTAAGTATTTTTCTCGAACAAACAGAATTTCCGTTCATTTAAAACTATTTAATTCGATTTACATTTTCAAGTTTTGAATATACCATTTAGTTGAACAAATACGTGTCACATTTCGTTACTTCATTCTTTATTTTGTGTTTCAATCTCATCTTAAGCACTAACAAGTGATTAAACCGGTCGTAAGTATTTTTGGTTGGCTAAAATGATATTGATTATAAAGATAAGTGCATTCATCTTATGTTTCTATCAAACTTTTATCAAATGAGAAGCATGATAAGTTATTTCAAAAGTAACTCTGAATCAGAAAACTTAAATCGTTCTTCATTTATTGGAGTCAGGCAATCACTTCTTTTGCGATATCATAATCAACTTTTGTGAATCTCTTACTTGTTTAATTTAGCTTTATGAAATGACCACTAGGATGTAAATATTAACATTGAAAATGTATTAGTTTTTTATGACTACCCCCTTATATCATTTCATCATACAATCCCTGCTGTTATTCGAGTATGAAACGATACATAATTTCATGTTCTATCATTGAACATAATATTTAGTAGGATTATTTCTCGAATTTTCGGATGTTAACAGTTGCGCTATGAGTTTGATGATGTCTAACCAAATTAATTTTCCATTAATCAATCTTAATGATGGTTGCAACGTAGTTACAGTCATAAGGAAAAAAAAATTGAATCGAATTCTCAACTTGGAAGCAGTGTTCTGCAAATAATTCACATGACTATTCAACAAAAAACTATTTTAATTGGTTAACATCCATTTTTGAATTACTACACTATGATAGATGATTTATTCTGCCTAAAAAACAGCTGAGCCAAATTTTTGACGTGTAATGCCTATTAGCAAATACTTATATCAAATTACAAAACGTTAATAATAGTCATCATGGTACATTAACGTGCATCACAAGAATGCAAAATTTAGCAAGTGACGATTGTTTATTGAATCCCATAAAATTTATTTAAATATTCAATATTTTAACTAGACCAAGTGATTGTATCCCTAATAACTTAAATAGTTTAAAAAATTACTAACATCATAATTGTAAGAACTAATAAACAACTGAAGAGATATGTCAACCTGGATAAGAAATGTTTACGGATATAAAATCCCGATTCAAGATCGAGTCATCTTTCTGATCTTTTTTGGTAATTAATCTAAAACTGAAAAGTAGAAGAACTATCTCTTGTATATCCTTGATGTGATAAATGTTGCCTTTCATTCTTAATGCAAGCTTATCGAATGGACTATTGTCGTATAAGCTAGTAAATTTGTAAAATCTGTACTAAGATTTGGAAGTTTCTGCTCACCTGAAATTACGGGAATAAATAGTGATTATTCACGAGTATTTTATTACATATTTGTACTAGTCTTGATTAGTTCATAATATTATTCTGCCCTAGGTCGTAACAAAAGTATAATCGTTGTTATGGAATACATAAATGATTTACAATGCATTTGCATGCAGTTAAATATTAAGTGTAATTATGTGTTTTATGTTATTTAATATTCAATGTATTCATCTCAACAGATGCTAACAAGGTGCGTTTTAGGTTGAAATGTAAGACATTTAATAAACTACATTTGTACATAGTCAGAATCTCTTAACGCTGGATGTTATTTGGGGCAAACAGAATAATTAATCAACGTAAACAGATACACAAAATATTTGAAACCAGTAAGAATAAGAAACTAATAAGTACAAAGAGATATAAATACAGAATTTATGTTAAATGTAGTCAGAACAGTTTGTATATTAGATATCTGTCAGGAGAAAGCATATGTGAACATAGAGTTTATCCAGAATCACATTTAACTGCAACGGCACTATCATATGCTTGCTGCAAAATGAAATCTTCATACCTAATATTTTTTATCTGATCTAATTTTGAACAAACGATTAAATTTGAACATTCTAGTTTGTTTAAATTCCAATGCTACTTAAAAAACAATATCAAAAGCGATTATATGCTGAAATATTGGCTAAATATGAAGATTTAGCTATATGAACAAAATAATTCACCGTATTCAATCAAGACAGGTTTTATTCTTATCATCGTAACAGTTAAATTACATAGATGTCGACTCCTTAAACTATAGTATAGTATGTGAGCTATCTAATTTCTGACACGTTGGCAGAGTTAATTTGTTTCTAGCATTATGATGCTGAACTGAAAGGGAATCTTTTATACTTTTTTCCTAAATAATATTAGTGTATGACTGAAACAAGTTGTACTTTTTGTCATATTTTACCTAAACCATGTTTTCTACACATTACTTTTATCAAAAATGTTTTCATTGACATTGAGATTTTTTTAAAATTTATTTCACATTATGTACCCAGTTAATATATCAGTTGGAAGTGTTCATTTCAATGAAGTTAGACACTGGCAAGCTAACAAGTCAACAACACATCAGCTAACCATTGATCCTAATCTTTACGATAAAACTAGAAAAAATTCCGTTGATAAAGTTTATGAATTTTCATGGGAACCACCTCAATTTGTAACAAGTAAATCATTTATTCAAATATCACAGTCAGATTACAAGTCACAGACAGCCGATTTACAGGTACTTAAATACTTTTTTAAATTTATTTTGTTTAAATCTATTACGTAAGATCACTCAGTTAATATTTAGATAGGGAGTTTGTCATCTTCAAAGTAGCTTTATTGACAGACGATACGTTTGAAAAATTAACTAAAATACAATGTAAGATAGTTTATCAAAGAGCAAAATTTTTGAAGTCAAACAATAAAAGTATTATATTTGACTAAATTGTGTATCAACGTATATGTGATGGAATAATCAAACAGCAAATTTTATTCTTTAGTTAATATTAGTTAATATCTTGCTACAATGATATGATTATACTTGTATTTGGACTGTAGATTAGAAAAAATCATCCTCTCAGATTGTATATGATTTTTAAAACTATAGTTCATAGACAAAGAACAATTAACTAGCTTTCATTAGTATTTTCCATTGTATTAGAACTATGGGCAAATTTATATCAGCTTGATATTAATCAACAGATTTTACTGTTTATTCACCTTGATACAGTAAATATGATAATAAAGAAATAAATTAATTGTATATCAGTAAACTTATTTAAGTTACCGACCTATGATATGATACACTGTATATACAATATTTATTATTATAACACGGAATTAGACTATCTGAATGAGTATTTTCCGATTCAATGATTAATTTTATTTCAGACGGAATTATTACTTTCAATTACAGTTAGCAATATTATTTTGGTCACTTACTGTTAGATTTTCCATGTGCACAATATCGGTATTAGGAAAGATGAAATCACCCTATATGTTGGAGTTTTGCAATATTCTCCGCATATGATATTGTAATAATTCATCGGATGATTCTGTATAATTGACTGATCGATATTATCATTGTTTCATCTAAACTACACCAAGATTGAAATGACATAGCTGAGTGTATACTAATTTAAATGCATATGAATTTCAGTAAATTGTAATATATGATAAAACAAAAGCTGAATTCTCCAACCAACTGATATAATCAAAATAGTCACGTTATTCGTTATGATTTCCTGACATAAATTTTACGGGACCTTTGATTATAAGAGAATATTCTTTTGTGTCGGTATGACTAGTAGACTGTAAAAATTTCATAATGGATTAACGTTCACATGGTTATCTTTCCATGCGACATCGTTGATATGCTCACATTCTCATTGATAGTTTTAGACATTTCTTTACATAAGTATGCATCTCTATGAAGATAAATTGTTTGTTGTTAAGCAGCTAATCTGTTTTGGTACATCTTAGTCAGATAATAAAAGACGTGTACTGTATGTCTCAATTAAAATTATGGCAGTTCAGTCAAGTTTGTTTATCAAAATAAAGTAGCAATGTAGTGAACGAGAACACAGGTGGGGCAACCGGATTGTATTTAACGAAAATTACAGAGTTACTCAGTAAAATCGGAAAACCATATCGTAAATCGTTAATTTGCAAAATATCAGTTCATCATATCGAATTGGACTGTTCCTGTTGTAAATCATCAATCCATTGTCACCTTTCATGCGTTTCATACAAATTCCATTGTGTTGTAACTCTTCCTTTCTTGATCTTCCCCCATCTTCTGCTGCCAGACATTACGTTGACATTCACGTCATATATTACTTATAAGAAGCTCGCACCACAGCAAGACAAAATCATCACACAGTTTGTAATCTTGTTTGTACAGAATGTAACAGCCATTGCTAAAAAACCTCTTTCTTAATCAACATAAGTAAATTTTTATTTACCCAAGTTCCACAACGTACATTAGTGTATTTGACGGAAGTTTTTATTTTATTTAACAATTACTATTTCACCCTGTAAAAACGAATCCTCGTGAAGAAACCGTAAGCTGAGTAAAACTGTTGAATTCCTCATCAGGAGTTTAGGAGTCTTCTTATAGAAGAGTTATGATGGCAACGTCCCTTGAATAGTACAGAGTAAATACCTCTCCTTACCATCAGAGAAACAATTGATTTAAGCATACCGAATATTCATACAAATGGATCACTTAAATAACTAACAAAATGAGACGTTACAACCGGATCCGGTGTGAAATAGGTGAAGCCCACTAAACACAAGATGAACATAAAAGACCTACCTCGGAAGAGCTGCTACTGCGTTCTGGTTATAAGAAACAAAATATTCTACACGCGCAGAGAGATGCATCGATGCTGTCCGAACAAGCCTGAAAATCGCTTTTGAATTGAGAAACCCAAGACTTCTTGATCATCGGAGAATCTGTCAAAACTAAGCTGAGGATTACAGTGAATATTATTCAGTGCTTCTCATTCAACAGTCGTAGAAGCAAGGACTACAACATCGGTTTCATGAGAAACTGGAGCTTAGCTCAAAAAAGCACTATAAAAGTTCTAAGCATCTCGTCCGGAAACTTCAAATGCGAGGTCGCGATGGAAAACATTAGGAATGAACCCATCACGGGACGTCATGGACCAGTGTAGTGAAAATACTTTGATGATAGATTGGTGAATTTATATGCTTTTGATAACATGACCATAAGAAGTTTCTTTGAAAAATGTGCGCATAGAGTTACACGAGAACCAGCTATAGCATATCTGCGTAAGCAAAATCATTCAGGATGTTAATAGAAGAGGTAATGATTAACAGTGAAGTCTGTTGAGTTTAAGATCACCACCTGAAGATGGTCTAGATACATATAAAGCATAATAAGTATTTATTAAATGAAAAAACGGCATTAAAGAAGTTCGATACAACCTGACTTTGAGATACTACCAACTAAGTTCGAAACTCCGCCTTGGGCCCCTCTGGGTCTACTGCCAGTTCCAAGCCCAGATAAAGGAGAAGTGTTGGGCATCGGGTTAGCGACCCGATCCCGCGTAAAGGTGACTCAATAAAAAACGCTAACCATTGTAACTCTGCCCTGGGAGTTAAGATGTCTTCTTACAGATGAGTCATGACGTCTCATGATGAAAGCCGAGTCTCTTCGGAAGTCACGAGGTCAATGCCCCCTCTGACAATCAGAGCAACCATTCTTTTGTGTACATAGAATTTTCAAACAATTTGGGGGATCGGAAGATTGTTCCAAATTACTGCAGAGATGAAAAGGTACAACTTGGAGGTGCTTGGAATCAGTGAAGTGCATTGGATGCAGGTTGAACAACTAAGACTAGCTTGAGGAGAGCTACTGTTGTACACCGGCCGCAAAGAAGAAAATGCCTCACACACAAGGAGTTGCACTGATGCTATCCAAACAAGCACAAAAAGCACTGACAGCATGGGATCTCATGAACACAGAATCATTAAAGCAATTTTCAAAACAAAGGAAGAGGACATTACAATGAGCGTCATCCAATACTATCCACCAACCAACGACTACAATGAAGACGTAAACGATCAATTCAACGAGAAGCTGCAGTAAACCGTTGAGCGATGATCAATGATGGATTTGACGACTCTGATGGCCCAAATACCAAGGTTGGCATAGACATCACTGGATATGGGACAACATGAACTGGGAGAAAGGAACGAAAATGATTAGAAATTAGCAAACCTATATGCCTTCGACAAACTGGCCATCGGCGGCACCATATTCCCACACAGAAGCATACACAAAGCAACATGGATTTCAACCGATCACAATACACAAAACCAAATTCACCATATCTGTATCAATAAAAAGTTCAAAAGGACATTTGAGGATGTGAGCATCAAGAGAGGAGCTGACATATTCATCACTTGTTGGTCGCCCAGATGAAACTGAAACTTGGGAAACAATAAATAATCGTGCGAACGACGTCACAAAAGTTTAATACGGTATTTCTTCGGGATACTGGAAAGCTCAACAAATTCAAGATAGCCCTCACCAATAGGTTCCAGGACTTACATGGTCTACTCAATGGAGAGGAAACAAACCTGAAGAACAACTGGATAGGGATCAAAGAGGCAATCACTTCAACATGTCATGAGGTTCTGGGTTACAGGAAATATCATCACAAGGAATGGATCTCTGTTTGTACTCTTGAAAAAATTGAAGAAAGGAGAAACAAGAAGGTAGAAGTCAACATTAGACAAACAAGAGCAGATAAAACAAAGGCACAAGCTGAATACACAGACGCAAACAAGAAACTGAAGAAGAGTTTCTGAGCCGACAAACAAAAATATGTAGAAGATCTAGCAATGACTACGGAAAAGGCAGCCAGCGAAGGAAACATGAGACAATCGTACGAAACAACAAAGAAGCTCGCTGGAAACTATCGTAAACCAGATCGACCCGTGAAAAGCAAGGAAGGCAGAGTAATCAGCAAAACTGAAGAACAGAGCTTTAAGGAATTCTTGAATCGACCAGCTTCACTAAACCTACCCAACATCGAAGCAGCATCTACGGACCGCCTACTCGATGTTGACCCATCAATGATTAAAGAGATCAGTATGGCCATCAGACAAATCAAGAATGGCAAAGCAGCGAGTCCAGCCAACATTCCAGCAGAGGCAATAAAAACAGGTGTGGCAGCAACTGCTAAAATATTCCACAATTTCTTCAGCAATATTGGAGACGAAGAACAAGTACATCAGACTGGAAAGAAAGATAACTCATCAAAATACCAAAGAAAGGCGATCTCAGCAAGTGTGAGAACTACAGAGGCATCACTCTTCTTTCAATACCAGGCAAAGTCTTCAACAGTGTGTTGTTAAACAGAATGAAGGTCTTCGAAGACGCCCAACTTCGAGATTAACAGGCTGGATTTCATAAGCATCGGTCGTGTACTGACCAAATTGCAACATTACGGATCATTTTGGAACAATCAATTGAATGGAACTCACCACTCTACATCAACTTCATTCACTTCATCTACTCTAATCCTTCCCCTTTCTCCTAGTGATTAACTGGATTATGAACATGTCAGTATCTGGAGGGAAACACCGTATCCAATGGACAGCTAGGATGCAGCTGGACGATTTGGACTTCGTAGATGATCTGGCTCTTCTATTGCACACGTAACAACAAATGCAAGAGAATAAGACCAGTGTAGCAGCAGATTCTGCAGCATCGGTTCTCAACATGCACAAAAGGAAAAACAAGATGAAGATCACTGAATGGTAGTCAATGTCTCATTGAGAGCTAGCAACCTTAATATATTATATATATATATATATATATATATATATATATATATATATATATATATATATATATATATATATATATATATATTTATCAATCCTGTACTAAACACATTGGGTCTACTCATAATATTTAGAGCTTAAGTATTATTCTTAAACAGATTATGATCGAATAGCAAGATAAAACACTTCATGGTTTGCGTTGTGAAGTAGTAATGTATGTGAGTATTTGATTTGGTTGTGCACTATATTAATGTTCATCTTGTTCCTTTATTAGTTTACATATATAAATCTGTTATTACTTTCAATAAGATTCGATACGCTTTGAGATTATTTAAAATACAAGCAAGTAATGCTTGCATTTGAGAAAGTTTTTTGGTGAAATACCAAGAATAGATTAAGTGTTTCAGTTCAGATACAACTTTCCTTGGTATTCCCTTATTATATTTCAATCACTTTAGACAAATTCATTGAATGCAGATTTCAGTGTAATTGAATATCAAGTATATGTTTGGATTAATTCATCAGCGATGGAATTTGAAGATACTTATTGGCAGAGTAAACCAGCGCTAACTCACTTTTTGTCCGAAACATCAGTATTTTTAACAGACTTACCACAACCTGGAATATTAGGAATATGGGTATGTCACACTAATTTATTTTGTATTATTATTCGTCAATAACAGTTGCACTTTCAAAAAAATACTATTCACATGAAATTTCTTTTTTTAGCTGAGACTATTGCTGATTTATTTCTTAGATTTAAAATCAGTGATACGTATGATTTACCAATTGAAAACTAATTACATGACATCCAAATGTCTGAAAATGCCGAAAAAAAACCCTAAATAGCTAACTAATCAGAAACTGGAAATCACAATATTCACTATCATTGTGTTATTTCGTCTCCATGAAAAGATTCACAAAAGCTTGTCACTTAAATATCGCAGCAACGTTTATGACAGCAACATTTTCCCATTTTCTTAAATCTCTTTATTCATGTGTTTTGGTAGCTAGATCTTTTTAAACTGATGCCGTGTAAGTGTTTACTTGGAAGGTAATAGAACATTTTTCAAGATTCAGAAGTAGGATTAAAATCTTATAACATACAATATATTGTAATTCAAAACTTCAGTCAAAGAAGAACTGCATCATTTTTAAGTCTTGATACTTTGTGTGTGTAAGCAACTTGATGCTTTGGTTTGCTTAACACAAGTTCACGAATTGTACATCGTGCAAATACACCCCACAGTTCAAATCAACTCTCAAAAAGAATATGTTCGGTAAAGAACATTCCTAAAAATGGAGCTCCTATTGTTGTGTCCTAGCACTCTCAAACGATTATTTTAACGTTGACAATACATAGAAGTAAAACATTCTATCCTTACAATACGCAAAATTTAAAATGAACATTAGGCAAAGTCAGCATTTGTGTAAAACATCTACAACAATGTTTATAGCTAAGGTTTCTAGTTTATTTAACTAAGTGTTTGTTGTCTAAATCAAGCCAAAATTGAAGAATAAAGTGAATCTGAGAATTAATTTATTCATTGTATCTGCAGTGAATTAGAATGCAATTTTAAAGTGTGGAAGATTTTGGGCTTTCATTGAGTTTTAAAAATTACTTTCTTTTATTGAAAAGAGCGTTTAGTAAAAATATTTAAGGTTGTGGAAAACTTTAGTGGTTAGTATGAAGTAACATGGCAAACAAACTGCTCTTTGGAATATTAAACGTAGCACTTTCATTTCACAGTGTAACCTGCTGTGTAATTTTAGAGATACTCTATTGTGTCTAAGATAATAAGAATTGTTTTGGTAGTTCCTGCGTCCCTTCACTCAATTAAATTGAGTGAGTTTATGACTTTAAATTTTTTAGATTAAAGTATTAATTAGAGTTCGAGTAAGGATTTTCTTGAGAACAAAATCACGACTACCTGTTAACAGGAAATTGTTTACGTATATAGGGACCAAAGCGCAGATTAATCTAGCTAGTAGTTATATAAATATATATGTCTATATTGCATGATTTTCTATGTTTCTTTGAGATTATTTGTTGTTTAGCTAAACGATTATACATAAAGTTGTAAATCTCTTCTCATGTTAAACGTTATTAATGTTTCACTACTTTTAGGTGAGACCTCATCTCTCAGCTGGCTGGGGAATATTTAAGAAATCAGTTTATCGATATTCAAATACTGATGAAAGTTACCCCAACGAGGAAGGTAAGGATGGTAGAGTTTTATTTTCTTAAAATAACGAACAAAAGTATTTATTTTGTATGTTCAATAATACTTGAATATAATGAGAGAAATCTGTTGAAAAAATGACAACTTAAAACTATATAATATAATATTTTTTGCAATTTTAACATTGAATGAAGTATACATATTCATATCACTCTCGTAAATCACCTATTTAATACAGTTCAATTTTAGCAGTTTGAATCTCGGTGTTTTAATAGGAATTAATCTGTCTCTTCATTATTCGGTTGAAACATCACTGAATTAATTGTAAAGATTTGACAGTTTAATTTACCTCGAATTCAGAAGTCAATTTAATAGCTGATACTTATAGATTATTCCATATCTCCTTAAAAATCACTGATTCAATGAAATCAGCATTTATTGATATGCATAAAGTACACTGAGCCCTATATTAAGTAGATATTTTTTATGTAAAGATAAAGTTTTATAACTATCACACTGGTGTAATTTATAAATGTTGTTATAAGAATAGTATCATTGATGAAAAATAAGAATGAAAATGATAAAAAATCTATTCGAGATTTATAAAGAACATATCAGTGTAATAAAATATCAGATTAAAATAAAAAATTGTCAACCAGCTTTTCCAAGAACCCGGAATTCAGAGTTGAAAATAGAAGATCTGTTTCCAATTAACAATGTGTTACACTTATATTACTAGCTGTCGCTCGTTTATTTTTGAATCTGTCACTGTACTAAGAACAGTTGATTTTTAGTAAATTATTCGGATACTGACAGAAATTAACTTAAATCTTCATTTCAAGAATTATTCGTTTCAGACAAACGTAGTATCACGTATATTATCATTAAATTCAGATATTTTTGACATTATCTAAAAATCTTATTAAAAAAATCCCACCATTTATAGTACATTAAAATCAGATAACTCTTGTTACTTGCTTTCGTCTCTTTTCCTTTGTATAACAATGCATAAAGTGTCTTATCAGTAAGGTGACAAATTTGAATAACAGTGCGTATTTTTCAATTTCATATGTGTTAGCATGCCGATATGATAGACTACAGTGATTTATATCACTGTTAAAAGATACATATTAATCAATATTATTTTATCATTCCAAGAGTTACAGTTAATCTAAAATCATAGCAATTTGTATCTATAAAGTATTGTTTAACTGATCAAGTGGAATCACCCATGGTAATTATTCCTGAGTTGATACTTATGACCCTTAAGAAACCTCAAACAATCGGCCACTTGACAATCGCCGATTGTATTTTCATACTATCATAAAGGAGATCTGAATCTGCTGCATAATTTTACCGGTTTAAAAAATGACATTTAAAAATAGGACTTCGTGCTGCATTATTCTTACCATCGTTTACAGTGCTTCATAGATTTTGACACAATGAAAAAATCTGTGGGTCTCTGGTGGTCTAAGTTTTCCCTTACCGACAATAATATCAATTTTATTTTATTAAACTATAATTTATCATTTTTGAATTTATTTCTCATAATAAATAAACACAGGGATACTAAGTGACAGGCACAGATAAACTATAAGGTACTCAGAAATTATAATTTCAGAGTAATGTCATCTCATTAAGCTAATATTTTCAGAATAGTCTCTTCGGGAATAATATCCCATAACATCAGATTGTGTTTTTAGATTTAAATGATCGAGCGTTTTGGTGTTTGATGTTCCTCAATAGTCTAAAAGTCCTCCATGGATATCTAATAACTCATTTAGAGTTTACGATTGAGATACAAAAAGTTTTGTGTGGGATCATTTTTTAATTGTACCACCATTTACTATCATTAATTATACTGAAGTTTATCTCTTAAATAAATACAAAACTTTATGGACTCTAGAACGTTTTACATTTAGGTATATGGAGAAAATGATTCTAGGGCTAGAAGAATTTTGAATGAAATCACCTGTTCTCTTATTTAGGCACCAAAGTACGAAGAACCATAACTTTAGTGTGTGAATTATGAATTTATCTATGTTCAAGTTGGTCCTTATAATATGATGATATGAGCTGAATAAACAATGTAAGTGAGAAAATGATTCTATGAATTAAGATCAATATAATACTGGATTTACCAGAAACTTAACTTGAAGTTCATTGATTTTGTGGCGACTTAATATTTGTTCAGGTCATTAACTGGGATCTTTTTGTGCTGGTTTTTATAGTTATATTATAACATTTTTCTTCTGTTGTTATTACTAATTTCAGGACAGTATACCAAATGCGTTTACGTTGTTTTTTATATAAAGTATAAAATCATGTTTTTGTAGTTGTAATTTTTAACTAACTCGTTTAAAACATTTTAATTTATACCTAGCCGGTATCTTTTCTGAATACTTACTTCTGAATTTTTGGGTATACTATTAATCACTTTTATAATCTATTTAAATTTGAACTTTACACTCTTATTTTAGAATCAGTAACCTACGATTCACTACTTATGGATAGTAATTCAAAAGATTCAATATCATCAAATGTTTCTGAAATTATTAAACCAGCTCAAACTTCTAAACGCTTTCGGATACTTATGGGTATATTAGGTTTAGGAGTAATTCTGTTATGTTCCCTTTTGGTTATTCTTATCTTTCTTCGTTTCTGTGCTAAGCGATCTAGATCTACAGAAGAAAATACGTAAGTTATGATGTTTTTGTAATTTTTGTCTGAATAATAACATTTTTGATTGTGGTGGAGTTTTGTTCTCTGAGCTGGATGTTTTGGTTGTGGAGCTTTCATTGTTCTTTCGAACAACATCATCAGCAAAAACTTCAGATAGAAGTGAAGTATTCGAATTTCTCCACCTTTGACCCGTAGCTTGTTCTGTTAGCCTCAACCTTGATTAGTTGTTGTTGACTTTAAACCTGACGTTGTGTGCACCTTTGTTTTGATTGTATCCCCCTTTATTCTGTTTCCTGATCCTATGTTAGCAGTGATTTTTCTGATAAGTTGATAAATTGGGTCAATGTCGATGTGTTTATTGATTGCTGATTGACCTTAGGTCCAAGCTACTGAGAATTCTATAAAGTTCTTTGTGCCATCCGTTTCCAGTATTTCAACATGGTTCCAATTGGAAATGTGTCCATAGTTGACTGTATGTTTCGATATTAGGGAAGAAATATCTTGGCGTTTTGACTGCTAATCGATGTTCCCGCAAATGAAGCAAAAGAGGACGTCCCATTTGTCCTATGTAGTGTTTTTCTCAATCTAAACAATTTATTTTGTAGATGAAATTCGGGTTTACTTCCTGTGTCATTTTGTTCTTCGGTTTACATCGGATTGATTAAAGTGAATGTACACATGAAATATGTAATTATTTGTCACAATTAAGAGATGATGTTTACAAGTAGTAGCAAACAAAGAAGTGAAGTTTTATGAAGTGAAAATGAATTATTGGTCAGTAACCATCAACGCCAAGTGATATAAGATTCTTGATTAAACCCTTTTTTATCATTCTTTACTCATAAATATGGACGGTTAGCCAGTGATACTTATCATAACTTTAAAGATCGCGGTTCACAGTGTACAGGATGCTCTATGATTTTTGTAATGCGTTTTTGATTTTTAAACTCAATAATTGGGATGCAGAATAATGAATGTTATTTGATGTCATAAAGTGTGGCCGAGCGATAGTTGCGCACACAATTGAATTAATAACGAAAGCCATTGACAGATTTAAAATCAAAATCCACTCTTCAGAAGAATAGAAGTTAATATGCCTACTTATAAAGTATTAACATAAAATAAATTGCCATAGAGGACTGGAGCTACAAAGGTCGTTCAAACTCCTAGCTATGAGATATGATCATAAAATCAAAATCTTTCGCGTCGTATCACATCGATTATCTCAGACACATTGGTCATCGTTTGTTGATCATCCACGTTTAGCAAGCGAACTTCTGAGATTTGCATTACTTCAGGCAAATGATCAATTTTCTAAATAAATCTGAAATACCTACTTATCTAAATATTCAAAACAACTCGATCCGGTATCCATGCATTCTGACAGCCAAACATCTCAAGTCACTGATTTTAGAGAATCAGAGAGATTAAGGAAAATGTCAAACTGTTTTATTATATAGTTGAGAATCATGAAGACATAGTGACTAGTTCTTTCATCTGAATTTACGTTGGTTAGATGGCTTATACTGTATCATGTCGTTCCTACTATTCACATTCATGCTTTTGAAAGACAATGTTAATAATTAACTTGATTTGGTGAATAATGTATTGGAATAAATTATGTTCAGAATTCTATTCAAAATCTGACTTCATCTTTAGACAAATGGAGACTGTTCTCGTTCCAAATTCAATGAATGGTATGACAGAGAAGCATACACCATGTGATTTGCAACTTGAAGGTAATGACATAAATTTTGTGATTTTATTTGTACCTTTATTATATTACTTTTAATCATACTACTATCATAAGCATAATAGTTGTTGCTTTTGTTATGTCTGAAAATTGGGTTTTCCGATGCGTACATATTTTAATCAGCCGTTTCTTTGTATAGTTAAAAACAATTTCTGTTTAAAATTAATGAACCTAAGCAGAACTTCTTTGTGTTCATAGTATTTTCATTCTTCAAACCTAAATATTTTTGAACTTAAAGAAAAGTATATAATCTAATGCTTTAGAGTATTTGATAGATAAATAAATTACTTGTTGATAACATTTGTTGTAATTGGCATAGGTAGTAATCTTTTGTAGATGTTTAAAAACTTTTTATGCACCGATGTAATGTTCACATTGGTAATGATTATTCACTTCAAGTAAATAATTGATACCATTTATGTGAATGAATTTAAAGCTGAAGACAGAATAACTAACTAATAAATAAATAAATAAATAATTGAAACTAATTTAACATGATTATTTGTATTCTGTAGGTCACTAATAAGCATAAAAAAATTGAAAACAGATTGACTGACTTAAATTTATTTTTGCTATACTCATTTTTGTAATGAGCAATGCAACCTAACTTATAAGTCATTCATTGTTTGTTGATTTGATTCCTTCTAGTTACTGTATAGAGATTATAAGGTTTAGATTATAATGTATTATATACAGAAGTTTGTAAGTTAAAAACTTTTTAACATCTATCTGATAAATTCCTACTCATTGTTAAATTAGACTTTTATATACAGCTGATAAGGTTAAAACAGGAAATTTCTAGGTGGTGATAACCGGGTTTTATAGATTAGAGGCTACTGATAAATAGATAAGCTTATACTTCCTTTTTCTCAATGTCTAGCTGACATTTTTTCGTTATCTTAAAATCTAATACAAATCTGATAAGTAATCTTTGGTTGCCAACAGTTAAAGTATTATTTACCTTACTCTCTGATTATCAACTTATGCAGGTGTAAAATACTTAAATTATTATTCTTCTTGATTGTACTCTTTGTAGTTTGTGCAGAATACTACGATATTATTAAAATAAGGCACAAACATATAAGCGAGAATTACTACAGTATTTCATCACACTTATATGAAATGATTAAGTAGTTGGAAACGTCCTCAACACGGATATTTGTCTTGGCTACGGCCTACATATTGAAGTTTCAATTTGGATGAACTTTAGGAATGTTTTGTAGTCTTTATCATACGTTAGTGAAGTAGCTGCTAATCTATTTGGCACTATTTCACAAGCGGATTGTTAGGGATGGTGCTAACAGTCTACGCCTGACAAAAATCAAAATGTCAGCACGAAGTAACAAAAAATATTGTCCTCGGATGCAACACCAATATTCAGTAGTACTTCTGTTAGAGTGAATGTCGTCATCATAAAATAACTAACACTACGTTCCAACATGAGAATATATTTCATATTTAGTAACAAAATTTCCGAACAGATGGATGAAGCCAACATGTATTTTTAGCTGCGTTTAAAATTAGCTGGCATTCATACGTCTAAATTCTGTCGTGGATTGTTCTAGAAATTTCTGATCTCTTCTTGATTATTTTTCAGTATTAATAAACATATTTTTAGATGAAGCCACAAGGTGATAATTTCGATTTGTGATTATATCATTACTTCTCTTAACTTATGTTGTGTGTAATTATTCAGACTAATAATTATACTGTTTCAATGTAAATTTAAAAGTATTTAATTTAGTAAAACATACTGGTGTATTCAACACTCCTAAACTTAAATATTGTAATTCCAAGGAACGAATTCGCTTCATATTTGTTACTTCTTTCCGATCATTTATTAAGATTCCTAATTTCATAATCTCTCACTCCTGCTTCTTTTATCTTAGTTGTTAGCAACGATACACACTAAATACAAATTGACTTTCAGTTTCGTGTACTGTGTTAGCATAAACATAAATAGTTTCGTTAATTACCTGCGAAAATTCGGCATCTGTAAACTGGTTTTGATATTTTATTAATTGTAACTCCTCTTGTTTAGTATGGTTATTTTAAAATTTGTTAAAAATAATAATTGAACTATCCGACTGTAAGATGTGATGTTCAATCTTAAGCTAAGAAAGGTAATTCAATAAAGCTACTTGAAAAAAAAACAAATCCAGTTACTTCCTCCTAAGTTAATTTTAAACTTTTATTGATACTGATTGTAGATCAAGATAGTCCAGTAGCTAGCGAACATTCAACTCCATTAAAATCAACCATGTGTGATCCTTCACAACCAGCCATTACAATTCCCGAAACAAGCAAAGAAATCGATCCACGTCGGATAATGATCAGAAGTACAATAGGAGAAGGTAAGTTGGAGTAATTTGTCAGTGTAAATTAAACCCTTTATAAATTCATATGTTCTTCTCCTTAATACATAGTTCCTTAAGAAGTAATAAGTTTTGTATACTTCCAACTGTTTATATGAATTAGCAAATAATGGTAGTGAAAAACAGTTCAATGATCACTTTGGAAACAGTGGATGGATTTGAAAAAATATCTTTTATAATATCGTTTTGAAAAGTCGTAAGTGCGTTGTATAACGTAGAAATTTCAAAAAAGAACGTTATATCTACTAGACTAAATGTTAATTGTCAATAAACTAAATGTATCATTCTTGATTTCCGACAAAATACTGTACATAGTTTAAATGTAGGCATAAAGAAACATTTTTCAAAATAAAAAATATGAACGACTGTTTGTGAAAATGTTTACTGACAGAATAACAATTATCATTCCATGACATGTGTATGGTTAGGAAGTTTTGTAAATTTTAAAATGTTTCAGCTTCTACTTATAGTGTTGAATATCTAACAGTGATGTTGTTGAATAGGTTTGATGTTCTACACTATAACTTCTGTCAAGTGTATGTCAACATTTTATTATTCTTAAAATTATTCTGTACTCTCATCATAATACAAACAATGACATTAGTCTTAAATGGGTATATTTTATGCAGTTTTCAAAGCATAAACGTCCAACAATAAAAATGATGCCTATTGATAAAAGATTATTTCATCCTACACTGAAATACTGTTAAGTGGTAAATTTATTTTGTGACTAAAGTGTAACATTTCGAAACCATAAATCGCTCAATGTTAGATCACCATTAGAAACCTGGAAGCACTGGACGGCCATTTTGTCCTGGTATGGGACCCATCAGCAGTATACATCCAGGACTCCTGCACCTCGCAGGATTCGGACCCAAGACGTTCGGTCTTTTGCGCAAACGCCTAACCTCTGGACCATTGAGCCGGTATCAAACGGTGGTAATCTCTAACTTGATCAATTCACGGAGTTGCGCAACCTCATATACAGTCTTCGGTAGTTACTGTCTACACCCGAACAGGTTGAACTTCACTGGTCACGACTTCCCACTTAAGTATTAGACAGTTATGCAAACAACAACAAACATTAAAAACGATAAAAGAAAGTATTAGATCTCTTGAAATAATCGGTTGTAATCATTGCACACACACTTGAATGTGTTTTTGTATGGCAATAAATTGATTTTGAGCAGATGAACGTTGATATGTCGCTCATTCTATCAATTATTATTAGAGTTTCGTAATAAGAATTAAAGTCATCAAAAACTGTTACGATTTTCTTTAAGCTACATTATGTTATTAATGCTGTTCACTTGTCATAATTGCTTTGATTATTGTTTTTATTATTATTACTAAATATACAGGTGAATTTGGTAAAGTATGCGCAGGTGATTTTATAACTACCGGTGAAAATAAAATTCAACTTGTTGCTATAAAGATGTTACATCCAGATGTCAGTGAAAAAACACGTCAAGATTTTTTAACAGAAGCGAATACATTAAGTCAATTAGATCATCCAAATATTGTACAATTGATTGGATTAGTCACTAAATCGGAACCTAAAATGATTGTTATTGAATTTATGGAAAATGGATCAATGGATAATTATTTACGTGTAAGTGATTAGAATATATTTCTTTTTTTCAAATACTCATTAATATTTTCATTGAATTATTACAAATTTAGCTTCATTTTTCATTCTAAGCATTCACGTATACATATACATTAGCTAAGTTTTTTTCGGCATTCAGTTGGATAAAAATTTAAACTTCGTATGTAAAACAGAACTAGCTTTTATAAAACAGTATTCAAAGAATTTATTCTAAACACAGTTTACAAATCTTGATCAAGTAAATTATTTAGGAATCTAATTAAAATGGGCGAACAATTCATGGAAATCAATATCACTTCTGTTTAAACATGGAGATTTTAGAAACATACTACTTAACCGACGATAATGAATAAATTAGGTTTGTATTAACTTGTTCAATGATAAACACAATACTAATAAGGACAGGATTAAACACTTTTATCAAAATATATTATTATTTCGACAAAATAACTACCGATCAATAGTATCTTTCCATTGTTATGTACTGGTTTTTTTTTTCAATTAGGTCATTATTATGCGCATTAGAATTTTCTATTCAACTGAAGAAAATCAATAAAATAACATTTATCGGTTAACTAAAGAGAAAGAACAAACACACACTGAATCCCATCATTGAACGTTACTAAGATAATAATAAGATGTAAGCTTACTAGGAGAAATTGTCAGGTGTTAAGAAACATTTGTCTAAGCAAATATAAACAATAATTCATGGTGAATTTAAATCAAGTGTTTTTTGTTGCATAACCTTAAAGTTCACAGATTAATTAGTTCACCTCTTATAGACAAATATAAGAATAGTGTTAAGGGATTTATTTCTTTTCATTCATTTAATCATCACATTTTATTGTTTCATGTGCTAGTTCAAAGTATTGATTTCGATTGATGAAATAGCTCATTAAATCCTTGAAAGTACGCTATGACAACTATCAATGTCTATTCATGTTTTTATCTGAAGCATCAATGAACAAATCTTTTCCAACTATGTCTAAATATTTATTTTTTTATTGATTAGAAACAGATTAACTTATTTAAGTAAAAAAAATGTATGAGTGAAAAAGTAGCTTGTTACAAAAATCCTTTATGTAGAATGGTATTTAAATTGTTATGGTCAATTTAAAGCTAACTAGTATACGCGATACAAAATTCAGGTTTAATAAGGTATTGATTATAAAACCATTCATTCTATATATGTGTATGGTTTTTGTATTAGTTCATTTAAGGATTTGAATATTACAATGACCGACAGGAATTATCAACATGTGCTCAATAATAATAATTTGTATTTTATGCAACTGATTTTCTTCAAGAAAATGAGCAAACGATTAACGTTAAAGTCTGAATAATTAGCTTGATGCAACACAGTAAGAATATAAGTATATCAAAGAAATCGCGCAAAGAACGATTAACTGGTTTCAGTATAACTAAAATTATAAACGAGGTGTAGCCAGATTGAAGAAGCTCCATATCTCCTTTGTATTAACATTGAGATAATAACCGGTAATAAATTTTTGCTGCTCAATACCTGACGTAATAAGTAATCTATCTCCTCGTTATATCTTCTTTTGTTTCAATTTAACTTTGTTCAATATTGCTTTTTTTCACTTTCTTTGATTTTAAGCGCAATGGGAATACACTATCTATGGAACAATTATTGTATATGTTGAGAGATGTTGCATGCGGCATGAATTATCTCTCACGTCTTAACTTTGTTCATAGAGTAAGTTGACGCAATCAGTGATTAACTTGTTATTTATAATCAATATTTATTATTCTTAAACGCAATTAGTTCATAATTACTTTTAGGCTTTTAGCGGTGTTGTAACCTGGAAAAATATTACTTCACTCTGCAAAGATTATTTCAATTTTTCGACATTTAGCGATTATTACTAAAATCATTTCTGATAGTGTAGTTGTTAACCAGTTACTACTAATCGCGGAACCAGATTGATTCACACAATTGGTGAAAAAGTTTCGGAAAAATATCAAATGATTCTCAGTGTAAACCTTCTTTCGAAATTTATTATTTGCCCCTTGAATGATGAAACCTGACTGAATCCCTAAATTAAACGTGTAATATTATATGGTAGGCTTTGAAATCACACTTGAAACAGATTTAAATTTAGTCTAGATTATTTTCCATGATTTTGCTGTCTATTCAATTTTTTATAAATTCATTTATTTTGTTTTTTGTTTTAGGATTTGGCAGCTCGTAATATACTTGTTGATAAATTTAATGTTTGTAAAGTGTCTGACTTTGGTTTGACGCGAAAATGTGATTCAGATTCTGATGAAGATGCGTATACATTTACTGTAAGTTTTGTTGGACACTAGTACATTTCCAGAGTATAAAGCGTTTAAAATCCAACGGTAGTTTTGAAACAAAAGTTTCCCTTTCAAACAGTTGTATGAAGTTTACATCCTTCGGTAATGTCTTTTGCCATGAATTGTCTAATATTCAGTTAGGTAGTTATGATGTGATAATATATTGCTTCTCGACTTCATCTTTAATGCTTCAGTCCTCTGAAATACTGTGGGCTGAATTCTCAACTTATATTCAAGTCCTTGAATATATCGAACGAACAAACAGAGACTACTTTTGTAATGAGATACTTCTAATTGATTCAGAATTGATTTATATGAGTAGATCGGACATGCGGTGAATGTAAAGTTATTGTGTCTTAATTAGAGCGTGTTGTTTATCAAGTTAACTTAAAAAATGAATAATACTGAAATACATTTTCTTGAAGTAACCATCTAATTCTCAGATAAGGTATGGATTACATGAAAATTCAGTTTTTCAAATAAAGCGAATTTCTGGACTATGTTTTCACTTCAAAAAAACCTGGAAAATATGTGAGACAATTAAAAAACAAAACTATCAGAATAGTAAGTAAAGAAACACCAGAGTATACCTTACAACCATTCGTCAATTAGATTTATGAAATTCGAATTCTGTTGGATGGTTTACAAGGGGAAATAATCCGTCAGAAAGCTTGTTATGAACAATTTATAAGAAATAAAATTTTCATTTAATTTTCGATATGACACTATCATTTCAGTAGAAGAATAATTATTTTAATTTTATTGATTGATGCTAACAGTCTATAGTTCAGTTTAGATTGGAGATTAAATGAGTGGAGAGTAATTCAATGCATGAGTGTTGAATTTTATTAGAGAAACCTATAATTAAAAAGTGATTGTATCCATCACGTTAGGATTGACATCAGCACCCACTCTCAGAAGTTGTCTGGACAAAAACGTCTTTCATCAATTATGGTTAACACTATATACTTTTGCACAAAATCACTATACAGACTGTCATTCTCGAAATAAGAAAGTTAGCTTTGAACCCATTATTGTTGCCATCAACCATATGAAACTATTGGTGTAAACTTGTCTGTCATTCAGTGTGAAGCTTACTGGGTTTGCAGTTGCATCTTACATGCTGAAAATGATCTAAAGCTAAATCACAATTAATTGTCATCCACTGAAGATGATCCAATGCTTTTAACTAATTGAATATCCTTTGGAAATTTAAAACAATTGTTTATATGATCGACATCCCTTGTTAAATTTGAATATTTCATAGAACATCTGACTACTGAATTTTGTAAAATTATTTTATTTTTGCTTACAATCATATCTGTTGGTAGATTCAAATTGTATTATAACGAAAATTTATTTCACAAATACATCATAAACCATTTTAAGTTTCCTTACTTAATACATTTATTTCATCTCATCTGTCTGGAAAAATTTTCATTTTATTATTTAAAGGGTGGTAAAGTTCCAATACGCTGGATGGCTCCAGAAGCTATAATGTACAGGAAAATCACATTTGCCAGTGATGTATGGTCGTTTGGCATCGTCACTTGGGAGTTATTCAGTTTGGGTGAAAGGCCTTATTGGAATTGGACAAATCAGGCAGTAATTGCAATGCTAGAGAAAGGATACCGTTTGCCATCACCGAACATCTGTCCTGCCGATATATATAAAATAGTGACTTCATGTTGGAATAGTAATCCAGATCAAAGACCAGATTTCAGTTCGATATGTGTAGAAATTAATCGGTTTATTGAATCATATCTTCAGACAAATAAACAAATTGAGCAGCTGAGCACTAACCATTTAAAAAATGATAATACTTCTTTAACACCTTCCCTTAACGATGATCTGACTTATTTCATATTACCTAAACCATATGACAGTAGTTTAAATACTAAAATTAATAATAATACTTCCGGTAATAATAATACGTCACAAATTTCAAGAACTTCATCATACAAAATGTACACATCCTCTTCTTCATCCAATACCTATTTCAATATAAATGCAGTAAATATGCGCGGAGATGGTTCACTCCCTAACAGTACTACAGAATGTGAAAATGAATTATTGCTGAATGATTTTAAAGACACAGTTCAGCACAACTTAACAGCAACACATGATACCGGTAAACGAGAAAATTCTAGTTGTAGTCAAACCAAATCTCTTCAATATCCAAATAGTATGAATAGAAATGAATGTCATTCAGACTTAATAAATGGAGCATTTACTCTGTCATCAAAACTAAAATGCAATGGTTATGCATAGTGTATTTTTATTGTAATAGTCGTGAATAAACGAACAAAATATAATATTATTTCAATCAACAACTGATCTATCTAGGTTGCAGGATATAAGGATGACAGTAACTATTTGACTAGCATATTTTAAAAAGGGAACATCTTTTTTCGTACATTCCTTCATTATCTGTTGTATTTATTTGCCTTCACCACTAATCTGTACCACTTCCCCATTGATTATTATTTCCTATTAGATTACATTTATGACAAGTCTTCCTAAAATTACATTTCATAGGAATTTTGAGACACCAAATGGTTACTTTCAGAGCTATAATAAATTCTTATAATCCTGATATGAATATATATATTCTTGTACATTAGTGCAACATGTAGAAAATACAAAGATATTGTGAAAAGTAAATTGGCTTTTGTTTTCGAAATGCCTAATGCGAAAGGAATGAAAGTTGGCAACTTAGCTATTAAAAATGAAATTGTAATGTCAAGTCAAAACTGGAAATAACAAAAGTATATTTATTTTTTTAGCTTTTAGTAAATGAAGTTATACCTTCGAATTCCTAACAAATATATTTATTCAAAATTACTTATTATTATTATTTTTTGAGTAAGTTATTTTTTGTGGCGAAATAAGTAGTGGTTGGTGTTAAAACTTAAGAAGTGCGTTTAACTTTTTTGACAGTTTTTAGTCGTTATTATGGTTCTTTAGCTCTGAATTGAAGAAATTACAGACAAAAAACTAAATATAGTGTCATAAATGCTAAATTACTTGAATATTTAAAATAAATTGATGTTTCATTTAACCTGATTTGGACGAAGCATTTAACTTTTAGGTAAATTTTGCTAAAGACTAATTTTGAGGTTTACAATAAAAGCAGAAATGTAACCGATTATGGAAAGTATAACTTTAATTTGAAATATTCATATTTATTGATGAAAGTTGCTTCATGATTTACGAACTTATAGAATGTTAGCATTTATTAGTTTATACATCCGTTAGAAAAAAATGTTTTTATCTAAACCATGAGGAAAGAGCTAAATTTAGGACATGGAAATGCATTAACTTACCTTGACATTTAGATCATACTATCAAATAAATTGACAAATGACTGATATTACATGGTGAATTGGATTTTTCTCATAATTTTAGAACATTAAAAACTCGTAAGCAGAAATACCAGTGGTAGGTCATTCATTAATTATTATCAGATTGTATAAAAAGTTACTTTAATAGAGCGTACATAATTTGTTTCCTACATTTTTGAAATAATGTCTAGATGAACAGAACAGGATTATTACTTGTTGTTTGCACAGCTTGATAGCAACTTACTGAAATTTATAGCTGAACAACACGAGTTCACATTTTATTGAAAAAAACTGTTTATCACAAGTAAACCAAAACTAGTCAGTCTCAACAGTTAAAAAAGAAAATATTTCAATGTTAAGTTAATTAAATCCATGAGAGTCTACCAGTATGACTGATAGATAGACTATAAAACTAACTGATTCGGTAATGTACATGGTATTATCAATAGTGCAATTCTGAGTTAACAAAAACGTTCTCAATAAAGTCAGTAAGCTGTAGTTGGTGTGACGTTATTTGTTGAGAGCTAAATGAAGTTGAAATTTGTAATTTGTATACATCAAGCGGTTTACCATAATATACTTTTCATGTGATGCTGCTTGAGATGAATTAAGAAAACATCAGAAATTTTTAGAGAAAATTTCGACACAGAAATAAATGTAAATATATTTTTACAAGACAACGTGGAGAATACATCAACAGCACTCAACACAGTGTTCTAATACCACAGTTTCATTTCTATTTTTACAACATCCTATGCAATAGCACTAATAGAAGCAAACATTGTAATAAATATTGAATCGACTGGGTAAGAAAGAAAGAAAACACACATTTCTACTCATAATTATACCTGTTTTTTATATCTCCCTTTTGGAGACAAAATAGGCTAATCAAGGATCAATACGAAAAGTAAGTATTAATATATGTGTTTGTGCATGTTTATGAATATACTTTCATGAATTAATGATTTATCACATCATAGAAACTGCTAGTCAACCTATAAGTTGACCTTATTTTTATTCACTCTGTTTGGATCATCTGTAGCTTGTTTTCATCATAATTATTTTAAAGTGTAACATCATAACTATTCATTTGACCTTGCTGCAACTATCTAAATTTTCTTATTTTTACTAGTAGCTTAATAATAAGAAAATTAATTGATATCTCCTTTGTGGGAGACAGAGACTGGCATATATATGCGCATACACACATATTCTTTCTTATTTTGTGAACATTTTTTCACACTTGATGATTGAAACCTTTTTTGTCATACAAAAGGAATCAACATCTAAAAATGACTGGATAAGTTTCAGTGTAGATTTGTTTGTAGGCTTTGGATACTTATCGGTTATTTTGATTTCGCTTAGTACTCGTAAGATCAGATAAGCTTATCAGGTGAAACGTAGTAGTTGATCGAAATTTGATACCTTTGATTGCTTCAAGTACTACTTTTACATACTCGGTATACAACATCTATTGAACTATTCAGTTAAATATTAACAGCTACTGATATAATGATGATTCATGTTCAAAGTCATAGTGTTAACGCTGATAATACGTACACTATCAATTCACCAGTTCCTAAAATCTGACTATTATTTTCAATCTGACATGTTTCTTGCTTAATACTGGCATGGTACTTTGACTGCTGCTTAAAATGAGACAAAAGTTGCTTTAAAAATAGTCTCTTATTGATTATCCAGTACCGTTTCTTAAAAAAAACATAACTATTTCATCCATCCATTAAAATACATTATTACTTTTCTTGATACCACTTTCCACCCAATGCTTTGGTGATATGATCTTTTTTTAAAAAAAATGTATTCTGCAACGGTCTGGTGGGTATTTCATATCTCATACAACATAGTCTTTTATGTATAGTAATTGTTAGCTGAACATATATATATATATATATATATATATATATATATATATATATGGTACTAATAAATAAATTATAAATAATGACATTAAAAATTATAACTGGTGTTTGTTTAACTGTGAAATTATCATCACCATGATGGTATTATTTTGATCACTTTTGAAAATACAGCTGTTATCATTGAGCAGCTTCAAATTCCACTGACATCATTAATCATCCAATGATTTCAGTTTTTCAATGGTGGTCTATCTTATATTTGTTCTTGATCTCACAGTAGGGTTCAACAATCTACACAACTGCATACTGAGATTTGAATTCGTTACAACAATTGTCTACTAAAATACGTATTGAAATCATGAATCGATCAATGTTAGACCACCATTAGAAACCTGGAAGCACTGGACGGCTGTTTTGTCTTGGTTTGGGACTCATTGTGGATGTGCACCAGAACAAAACAGCCGTCTATTGCTTCCAAGTTTTTTTAATGGTGGTCTATCATTGATCGACTCATGATTTCAATGAGTAACTTAACAATCTTCACTACCGCATTATAAATTGCATATTTATGTAGCAAAGCGAATCGGTTAACTTTTTGAAAATACTTCTTCGGATGATCGATAGCAGTAAATGAGAGTGAGTAGAATTAAATTGAATCAATAAATGTCATTAGAAAAAATCTAAATTAAAATGAATAATATGTATAGTTAAGTGCAACGATCCGGATACAGAAATATTAACATTTATGTGATAAAGGAAATAGATTTAACTTTATTTCAAGCACGATCAGTGTTTATTTTAATAGAGCTTATACTTGATTTCTACTTGATATTCATACAGAAGATTCAGATAAAATAACAGCGATACACAAATTATTGAAAAACTTTTATCTTCTCATTGAATTATTGATATTTATGAAAGCGATAAAAGTTTACCTAGTAAGTACAATACTGTACAGTTGGATGATTTAGCTAAGAGTTAGTGGACATTAAATCTCATCTAGAATGTTCTCAGAAAACAATTTTGATAAATTTAAACTTATTATAAATATGTAATTATAGATTTCCGCGCATAACAGAGAATTAAATTGGTACATAAACTTGAAAGTAGGATAATCGTTTAGAATAACAGTAAATTCAATTGAAATTATATTTTCATTGCACTATTTTCTAAAGATTGGATGAACAAATATGGTTGGGATTGTGAAAACCAATGACCTAATGTCAAATAATAAATGACATACAAACTAGTAAAATAGGTACAAAATAAACTGATGTGAAATGACAAGATAGCTCTACCATAGTCTTAGTTTTTTACTCACAAAATTAACTTGTTTTGTTACACAAGAAGAAATATCTACACAGAAATAAACGTGATTAAATGTCATAAATGGTTGGAAGTTATCAGCTCAGTAAGTTGTTGACTATACAATGAGATAAGTTTCAGTCTTATTCATCATATGTTATACACATTAAATTTAATTACATTTCTACAGTGCAATGTTATCAGCGTTTTATATTTACTCGATCAAATAAATTGAACTTCCACTTATATATCCAATAAAATATTCTTATTTCATCCTTTCTGAATTTGTTACAAAGTTACTTGAACGAATGAACAATGAAAGAATCATGTTCTAACCATTGATAATGAAAGTCTTGAACAACATTAAAATCACAAATTTTTAACATCTTAATGTATAAATACAACTGAAAACCAATAAAATCAAATATGTTTCATCATCTTTGTTTTTCAAGTAAATTAAATGCTGAGATCTGTTCATTGTATATACAGTGTGTGTATGAGATCGATAAGCTATACTTGTTAATGAAGATTACCAAACGGAATAATTTGGTTGGCGGTAGAGGCTAAGTGTATTTCACGGAGCGTAAGATATCCTGGTCAAGTTATTAATACGTATTTACTAATCAAATGATTGTGAAACTGTTGGGGACGTCAGATCCCAAAAAATCACTTGGATTAGTCCTAATTTTATAATTTTGTTCTGAAACTTTGAACTTCCATGTTTTCGCACCGTTTGACCTTCGGC